CAATGGTGATTGGAATTGAATCATCAGAGATCGTATCTGCACTTCGATTCCCAACCCAGTTGAAGGGCAGTGAAGAAGTGTGTTTCATATCGTGTGTTACTGGGCGGAAGAGGATAGGCTTGAACGGGTTTCCCAGGTTCCATGGCCTAATTAGGGAACGTAGGCTTCTCCTCTGAGTTACCACACTCCGCGGTCTATGGCCAAGCTCAAGATGTTGCCGAAAGCTATGAGCGTTTCGGAATACTGATAAAAGCTGCGAACAACCAGCGTGGAGCCTCTTGACTTTAAGGCAGCCTTTGGAGGAAATAGTGTAATAGCGTAGTTATACTAGAGGTGTGCGCACCAAGTAGGCGGGCACGTCCAATTCTGAGCTTAGTAGTACCCTGATCATATGACGGTAGGCAAACGGTATTTCATCATGCGAAACTCAGTTACAGCTGTCTTCCTGGGCAAACAATTAGTTTCGCTTTTCACGTGTTTAGCGTCAGCTGCCTAAAGAAGGAAGCTGAAGTAGTACCTCTGATATACGACCAAGCAGCGGTCTTAGGCCGCTGGACTGGAAGCTGAATTATCAAGAAGTGGCACTGGACGGCTGGACCTTTTGCAAGAGCGCGTGGGGGCAACCAGCCCCGGTGGTCAGACCCGACGGCTAACTGTCTATCTGAAACTCTTCTTGGCTCCTCGTCCCAAACTTAATGTTTGACGACAAATTTGCACGTTTCCACGGGCTCAAGGGCCAACTGCTTGAAACTCTGTGAAACAGTGTTTTAGGGCTTCTTCTTTAACTGATTTATTATATGAGCGAAGGTTTCAAATTATCTTGACTACTTTGTTCCGGGTTTGGTGTGTAAATTGGAACCTCCAGTGTGGTGGAAATGCAGTTCTGCTTCTTCCGACAACTTAGAAAATAACGTTTTGCAAACAGAGAGTCACACCTTTGCAATCTACTCGGATCTCGTCACGATATGACAAGTTCCCTAATTGAAAGTTTGTTGAATGGGATATTAGTGAATGCTGGGATCACATGTTAAGACTTTGTCCTTAGTTACACAGTGGGTCTCTTTGAGGAGTGATATATATTAAGATGACATGAAGCATGCTCTTGACCGGTTACGTGTCGGGTTATTTCTTTCAGTCAGACGACGAAAGTCGGTCGTCATGCCTGTTCTGCCAGGCATCAACATTTTGCTATAAACAGATGGCTATCCGGATATTTCGATCGTTTATCTCGCAATGTACGATTGTCCCCACCTGGCAAAATATTACCTGCTCAGCCTAGCTATAAGCAGTAGAATTTACTGTAGGCCGACGACATGGGAATCAGTCACTAATCATTCACCGTCTCGTAAGTATACGAGGCTGCGCGTGACCGCGCATTCAAATAAGTTCGCATTGGAAAACAACTGGATTCAATAAGGAAGTATGCGCTTCCGTCAATGACACACCTGCTCCTTCGGTCTTGAACTTGATCTTTGAACTCGACGTTCTGTTTTGTTGTTTTCGGGTGAAGATGGCTGTGAATCTGCATAGCTTCTAAGTGTCCACTGATCGACATTCTTACTCGAACTTGGGGTTCACAGGAATACATTCTGCCTGCTGCTTATGCTTAACAACCCTAGTAAGGTGACGTCAGGTAATCAGGTTTTGTGGCCAGCCGCACTTGTTCAGTCCAAATGATCTCATACTTGTGTCACATTTGTTGGCCCAATTGGCTGTACAGTCCCCTGCAGCGGGCAAGTTGTGCACAAACAAGCAAAGTTACATCGACAACACCACGGGCGGCCTATAATAAATGGTCGGTTTACGAAGCACGTTGATCGTCCCGACACTGGAGCGTTGCATTCAGGAAGTGTCCCAGCGCAGTGTCACTGACGCCCAAAAGTGAAAACCTTGCCGCATTTCAAAACTTGAAAGCGAATGTGTTTATTTTATTTTGCCTGCTTTTGGTCCTGAGTTATATATAACCGCTGTTCCCGCTCCAGCGCCAGAAGAAGCCCCACCCATATGGAATAAAACAGCTTTATTGCGAGGGAGGGAGTAAGTGTGAGTGCAACATTTACAACGGACCTCAAGGTATTTGAATTTTACTTTCATTGGTCCAGACTGTTGCCAAACCTACTGAATGCGTGATTGGCCGGGATGCTTGCCGGTTTTGTTCCTGAGATTTCGGTGGAGTTTGAGGGTCACTGCTTTCGCTTACACGAATCTATCCTTCCTGGTACCTTACAGTTTTGGTCGTTCAGCATAAAACTATCGGCGCGGTCCAAGTTGAGAAGGGTCCACTAGTCTTCTGGCAGGACCGGTACGGCACTCTCCGCTGTCTTGTTGTTGCCGGTTATTTCCGATTAGCAACATCTAAACTATGCTTCATTTTATACGTCTCTAAATGTTTGCAAATAATGCTGTTATTATAAACGGCTTTTTTACGAACTTCCACAGCCACTTCGCCCAAGAAAGCTCATTACACATATACTTGACAAACAAATTATGCTCTACAGTATCATGCTAGTTCTATGCACGAGAACGAACTTTCGTAGCGAAGCTGATAGGAAGCAACCAAGAATGCCGGTAATGTATTCAGAAGTTGATGATTCATACTCGGGGAACTGGGCAATAATTAGTGCTTCTAACATGCAAATATGCGCTAATAAAATGGATTTTTATCTGAGGAGCGAAAATCTTCATTGTTAGGACACTGGTGGAATAAGCGCGTTGGTGTTGCATAGAACGTGTTTGTCTGCATTAAAATTTCAGTGGCCCGCGAAAGCAAAACAAAGTCGGAGCTGGGCTCCTATACGAAACTGTTCACACATTGTGCAAACGTCAACAACATATGCTCGTTTAAAAACATATGGTTCACTCGGACTACAAAAGTACAAACTAAATGAGCAGACAGGCTGCCAGATAAAACAGTCACACGTGCATAAAGTCGGCCACAAATGGCTGGCCTAAGGGGCGAAGTGATAGGGACAAGCAAAGGCCGATCCAGCATCGTGTTTCAAGTGTGCGTGCCAGAGAATCTGATTCGTGTGAGCAAGCGGGTGGTTATGTGGTGTGCTTCCCGCTTGGGAGAGCTGCCTGAAGCATAGAAAGGGGGTTTATAGAGTATCATAGACATCGTTGAAACAGCTCGTTAGCGCTTATTTAGAAAGTTAGCGAGGAGCAACGGTAAATGGTGGCGCTCAGAATGTGGAGACGGATAGCGCTTATTTAGAAAGTTAGCGAGGAGCATCGGTAAATGGTGGCGCTCAGAGACGGATAACTATCTGATACTGCATGTTGCGCGGAAGGGGATGCCACCTATTTCTAGAAGCAAGAAGAGTCTGGAGGAATAAGTAGTTAAAAGCGTGCACGGACAATATGTTAGAAGAAAATGTGGGATGCATGTTTGCATTGTGTGTGGAGATTGAGATGATCCCAGTGTAGCACCGTTACAGGCTGCGGAAAACGATATAGACTATGAAGAACGAAATTCGTCCGGGGGATTCATAGGGTGGAGCAGTTATTCACATGTTGCTCAACTTAGCCCACCGAGAGTATCATGATCCTAACCAGTGTGGTCTTTTATATCAATATTTTGCTTTCATTGTAACACTTCATATCTCGTCAGTTGCATAATCGCTTTTTGTTTGAATACGGTACAAAAACGAAACGCGCACTTGTACAAAAATTCATGCAATACAACCGTGGTCACGTGCTTCGATTCTCTCTTCTGATTTTCTCGCGCTTGCAGCGGCCATTCGCGAGTCTTATGTGCTAACTCTGGTGTCAAAACATTTCAAACCATCTTC